CAGGGGCTTAGGTGGAGAGCAAATGTTTTGAGAATGATGAGGGCAATGAATGTACAAATGTGCTTTACACAATTGTATGTATGTATGTATGGTCATGAGTTGTATGTGCCCCTAATAAAATGATTTAAAATAAAAGAAGAAAGAAAAGCCTGTAGTTAATTGAAGGACTGTTTGTTGGCCTTTAGGAGTGTTTTTCGGTCGAGTCTGATGGGGTGCCAAGCCCTGGTCCCAAAGTCTGTTTTGGTATTCCCTGGGGACTTCGTTGCTCTGTTCCCCTTGCTGTTCTGTTACACGCCCTTAGTCTTTTGCCTCGGTGTGGTGGGGTCAGATTAGGTGCAATTCCCACACTGTGTCTCCAGTATTGTCCCCTGTAGGGCTATGGGTCAGTGAGAGATGTCGTGTCTCATAGTGGGGCTGGCCATATGGTCTTCTCTGTGGATTGGCTGCTCTGATCGGGAATATGGTAGTCAAGGCTAGTGGGGCAGCATGTGCTGCGCTCTCTCTCCCTCCCCCTTCACTTGCTCCCGTGTGCTCTGATCAGACATGTTCCTCTCCCTGATCTGCAGCTTCAGTGTTGTCCTCTGAAATAAATTCTTCTGGGGTCTCTTGGATTCTTTCCAGAGTTCAGCTTTTTTCATATTAGTAAATGAAATTGTATATTGCTAAATAATCATCTCATATGATGCCTTTCCAAAGGTTTTATTACCGAACTTGGCACTTTGCTAACTCAAGCAGTGTTAATTTATATGTCTGGATATAGTTCACAAATTGCTTCTTGCTTTGCAGTATTAAATAGCATTTTTGTCAGCCTTCTATGGTGTGTGTAACATTTTTGTCATCTGTCAGTGATGTTTCTCAACCAGAAAAAAAGATTGCATGAGCACAGACACTTCCTGTGCTTAGAGACTCTTTTGCCAGAGTCCGTGTCATTACTGTTGTTAGATGTCATCAAGCTGCTTCCAGCTCATATGACCCTGTTTGACAGAGTGGAGTAGAGGCCATTCAGCCACCATATATATGTATATGAATGCAAGTACATTCTTCATTTGGATAAGGTCCCAGCATATTCAGTTAGCTTTATTAACTTGTGTTATTAGCTGCCGTGAGTCAGCTCTGACTCATGGTGCCTCTTTATGTCCAGACTAGAACTGTTCTGTAGCATTTTTCAAGGCTGTGACCTTTGGGAAACAGATCACCAGGCCTTTCTTCCAAGATGTCTCTGGGTGGGTTTGAACCACCAATCTTTCAGTTAATAGTTTAGACATAGGCCCCCAAATTTATTTGGCCTACCAAACTCATTTCGGAAAAAAAAATTACTCAGTGCCTCCCTGGCAATTAAAAATTACCGCCCATGATCCAGGATGAAGTGTAGGTATCTGCTTTGCAGCCCTTCTCAATCATTCCAGTACCCCCAGTGTGTAGTTTCACCCACTTTAGGAAAGACTGGTCTAGTACTTAATCATTTGTATAACTTAGAAAATGTCTTCTCCGAAGACAGTAATAGTTACCTAGAATGGAATTTGCCTGTGTGTGTGCACCTGCACATACACCAGTTTTCTTGTATTTCAGCACTTGAGATGTGGAGGGTAGAATTTTGCAAATGACTAAGAACATTCTTGGCTGTTAAATTTTGAGAGTTTCTTCCTCAGAGTAAACTCTTTATTTGTAATTTGCCTAAATTGATTGCTAAGATCCAAGCTTACCATGAGAACTCTAAGCGCCTTTGTATATTTGCATCCTGCCAGTACGTGTTGCAATGAATTAGTTGTTCTGATATTGCAAGCCCATGCCAAAACACTGGGAAATTTTGAGAATTCTTTATAAGCTGTATTTGAGAGGTAGCTCAAAGGAAATGTGGAGTGCGTGTTATGATAGAATATATGATTAGATTATACCAGATTCAGTGAAGTCAGCTCTTTATATGCCTACAGTGTAGTATACTTGTGTTTGAATAATCTTTGCCACTGGCTTGTGTTTGAAATCTCTCTGCCACTTATTAACTGTGATGTTGTTCTTGTCAAAATAAACATACTCTTTGACTTCAGTTTTTTGTTTGAATTTGATCATCAGAATTCTTGGTTTATCATTCTCAGAATTATCTTTTATTTGACACTAATTTGTGGCTCTGTAGTTGAATGCTTTCTAAATTTGATCATCTTCAATTGAGCAGCCATTATCAAGGTGCCTGAAAGTGATTAGCATTTCCTACTTCACGGCATGCCCTTTTAGATATGCTTATTCACTCGTTCACTGCCATCAAGTCAATTCTACTTAATGTTAAAAAACAGACATCATAATTTGATTCTAATCCACAGTTTTCTATTTCATTTTACAGTCATGCTTCTAGTTTTTAGCACACCATTAATGGATGATTGTGTGAACTTTCATAGGAAGCATGTGTAAAATGGGAGCACATTTAGACCTTTCATATTCCCAAACTTTCCTAGGAGAATATAGATATTAAGTCTGTACCTAATACAGTGATTTTAAAGAATCGTGAAGGTAGTTCAAATCCTAACATTCAATAATAAGTAAAGTTTTAGATTACTTGACACTAGTTTGGATGAGACTAATACTCAGGATTTCACATTTATTTTCTGTTTTGGTTACAGATTCTTGAGACTATGCCAATGACTGAGAAAGTTGAAGAATTGCTGCATGTCATAGGACCCTTTTATGAAATCGTAGAGGACAAAAAGAGTGGCAGGACTTCTGATTTAACCTCAGGTTGGACTACTTTCCCAATTTTTTTTAGTTCAGCAAATGATTATATTCTGCATTAATGTTTATGTATCTGATTTTGTTTTCACATGCCAGTCCGATTGGAGAAAATCTCTAAGTATTTAGAAGGTAGGAATAATGAAAACCATCTAAAATTGTTCTCTGTATTAGTTTGCATCCCAAAGGAATTGTATACAAATTTGTATAACTTAAAAGATTGTCACTCAAATTTTTTTCCCAAAACAAACTAATTTCCTAAAGTTCAAAATTATTGTTATTGTCGTTATGTATTGTTGAGTTGATTCCAACTCACAGTGATTCTGTAGGACACAGTAGAACTGCCATAAAGGGTTTTTCTTCCAACATTGTATTTATTTTGTTCTTGTTGAAAATATACACAGCAAAAACTCAAATCACTGCCTTTGAGTTGATTCTGACTCATAGCAACCTTATAGAACAGAGTGGAATTGCCCCTTTGGGTTTCTGAGAGGGTAAATCTTTACTGGAATGGAAAGCCTCTTCATTCTTCTATGGAACAGCTGGTAGATTCGAACAACTGACCTTGCAATTAGCAGCTCAGTGCATAACTATGTCCCCAGGACTCCTGAACACAGCAAAAAATCCCCCAAACCAAATTCACTGCCATCAAGTATCTGATGCCAAGTCATAGCAACCTTATAGGACATGGTAGAACTCCACCTGTGAGTTTCCGAGACTGCAACTCTTTACCATAGTAGAAAGCCTCAGTTTCTCCCACAAAGCCACTGGTGGTTTTGAACTGTTGATCTTGTGGTTAGCAGCCCATTTTGTAACCACTATACCATCAGGGCCCTCATATAAAGCAAAACATACACCAATTCCGCAGCTTCTACATGTGCAATGTAGTGACATTAGAGTTTTCTGGGCTGTAATTGTTTCTGGAGAGAATACCTACAGAGTGCCTAGTGGGTTCTGTTCACGGATGGTGTGATTAGCAGCTGAGCTCTTAACCATTGAGTCATCAGAGATCCTTTCTAAAATATAACACCTCAAATCCATAACCCTTAAATGTTAAATTATGAGAACAAAACAGATGGCTCTCTTAGTAATATGAAATTGTCATCAAATTCATGGTTTTATTTTAATGAATCATATTTTTTTTGCTATAGGAGCTATATTAGCAACACTGTAGCTGAATTATTTTCTAGCTACTTTAATAGTGCATGTATTTTCTTGTTTGTGTTTAGAATTTTGTTTTCATGTTCTGTTTTTCACACTAGCAGTTGAATGAATAAGATGCAAGATTTATTGGTATTAACTGTAAACATTTGTTCTTTATGACTTTTTAGAAAGCAAAGTGAAATAAGCACATAAGAAGTGATGGGAAACTTTTTAAAGTTTTAAATACAAATAAACAAACCCCCCCACCCCCAGAATACCATCCCTTTTCTCACTCTCTCGCTCTTTTTTTTTAATTTTATAAATCATTTTATTGGGGGCTTGTACAGCTCTTATCACAATCATCCATCCATTGTGTCAAGTACATTTGTACATTTGTTGCCATCATCATTTTCAGAACATTTTCTTTCTACTTGAGCCCTTGGTAACAACTCATTTTTTTCCCACTCCCTTCCCCACCCTCCCTAACTCATGAACCCTTGATAATTTAGACATTATTATTATTTTTTCATGTCTTACAGTGACCGATGTCTCCCTTCACCCACTTTTCTGTTGTTCAGTCCCCTGCTAGGGGTTTTGTGATCAGTTCCCCCTTTATTCCACTACACCCCTTTCCGCTCCTGGTCGCTCTTTCTTAACACGGAGTATTTTAATAATGTCCTATAATCAGGCCTTATATTTTGTGTCTGCCCTGATAATAAAGCATGTACTTATGGTGACTGCTGACACCCGTGCCATACCGTTTTATATCTGGCTTACTTAAAAGTCTTCTTAACAAATAATTCCCCCATACAATTTATGTTTATTCTATCCAGAAAAAATGTATCCTGTTTTCTCTCAGCCTGCTTTAGCGGTTTATAGCTTACTGGCCAGAAGCTGATGTTAAAGCCACCAGTGCTAAAACAAGCGTGAATGAGTAATAGTAATAAAGACTCAAGTCCACAATCAGCTATAATTCAAAAAATGTCAAAAGCTTTGCAGACCCTAAGGTTTTTATAAGCCATTTGGCAGTAAAACAAACAAGTTTAGGAGTAAACCTGCCCTAATCTTCTGTGAAAAACTTAGCTTTTGTTGTTGTTTTTTGTTTTAAGAGGGAGCTGCTGTAGACTTTGATAAGGGTGTTATCAGCATATACACTCTATTATCTCTGCCACCAACCACCACTCCTCCTTATAGTGTATTCCCTCGTGTCCCAGGCTTCTGCAATTCACTGCAAAAGCTCACAAAATTCACAAACTGTAAGACAATGGCTCACATAGTTGTGGGTGGCTGGGGTACTTGCTACATTAAAGTCATATTCACAAGTTCTGAGAGTTAGGGCTTGATCATATTGGGGGGCGAGGGGGGGGTAGTGACGTGGAAAGCACCTTTAGAACAACTCACTACAGAGGTGTACCAAGGAGGATGGTGCAATGGGTCAGAAGTCCAGAGGGCTTAGATAGGAAACTCTTAAATGTTTTATCATGTACCACAAAATCAGATACTGGTACTAGATGCGATACAGTGATTCCCCGGAGCCACATGCAGGGATATTAATATTGAACAGATTAGCCCAGAAGCATAAAGAAAGCTGGTGCAAGCCAGAAGAGTATTTTTTTTTTTTAACATTTTATTAGGGGTTCATACAACTGTTATCCCAATCCATACACACATCAATTGTGTAAAGCGCATTTGTACATCGTTTCTCAAAACATTTTCTCTCCATTTAAACCCCCGACATCAGGTCCTCATTTTTCCCCTCCCTCCCCGCTCCCCCCTCCCGCATGAGCCCTTGATAGTTTATAAATGCAGAAGAGTATTTTTGTAAATACCATGGAGTAGAATCCTCTTGATCCAGCTTGCTTCAGAAGCTAGTAAAATCAAGTCAGGTGATAGGCCACAGCTCAAGTCCTAATACCCAGAGGTCAGGCAGAGGCTAGCCATATGCTGTGTGTATCCAGAGCAAGAAGCAAAATGTCTGAAAGCGCAAGTAAGTCTCTCCTACTTCTGGAATTGCTCCCTCAGGAAGGGAGGTCACCAAAATTGGATTTGATGGAATTGTTTTTGCCTTCAGCTGATCATACCCATAAGGAAACAAAGGGTGGTGAGCGCTTTAATCCTGTCACATAGCTTAACAGAGAATTCCCTGCAAAGTGGTTATTGATTATAACCACAAGAGTCTTCTTCTCATAGCCATCTAATAGATGTCGACTGAGCCATCCTGTAGAACAGGGGAGAACCACCCTGGTGAGTTTCCAAGACTATAATACTTATTATTATTATTTTAAAACATTTTATTGGGGGCTCATACAACTCTTATCACAATCCATACATCCATCCATTGTGTAAAGCACATTTGTGCATTCGTTGCCCTCATCATTCTGAAAACATTTGCTCACTACTTAAGCCCCTGACATCAGCTCCTCGTTTCCCTCCCTCCCTCATGAACCCTTGATAATTTTAAATTATTTTGTCATATCTTATACTATCTGACGTCTCCCTTCAACCCACTTTTCTGTTGTCCGTCCCCCAGTGGGGAGGTTCTATGTAGATCCCTGTAATCGGTTCCCCCTTTCCACCGAACCTTCCGTCCACCCTCCTGGTATCGCCACTCTCACCACTGGTCCTGAAGGGATCATTTGTCCTGGATTCCCTGTGTTTCCAGTTTCTATCTGTACCAGTGTACATCCTCTGGTCTAGCCAAATTTGTAAGGTAGAATTGGGATTATGATAGTGGGTGGAGGAAGCATTTAGGAACTAGAGGAAAGTTGTATGTTTTATCATTGCTACACTGCACCCTGACTGGCTTGTCTCCTCCCCGTGACCTTGTTTTTGTTCTTGTGGGCTTTTGTTCTTCTCATAATACAATAGTCCAAGTAAACCATAGTCATTCATAACCAACCTGGAGACAAGCAGATGGATTCTGGGCTCCAACTTAGCTCAATCCAAAAACAGTTACCATATATACTCGAGTATAAGCCAAGTTTTTCAGCACATTTTAAATGTAGTTTCTGTGGTAAATTTAGATGCCTCGGCTGATATTCGGGTCAGCTTATACTCGAGTGTAGACAGTAGTTCTTATAACATGCCTGGCTTGACACTCAAGACTCATCTTCATGAAACGACCAGTGAAGAGAAGGGTGCTACAGCAAAGTATGGTAAAGAAAGCAGATGGTGCCCGGTTATTCATTGGAATAGTGTCTGGGGTCTTAAAGGATTGTATTCAACAAGCAGCCATCTAAGTGAGGCATCAACTAAGTCCACATTGAAGAAGCACACCAGCCTGTGTGTTCCAAAGCTTAAATGACAAAATCAAAATATGATGGAGGGAGAAGTAGCTTAAGCTGTGAACACCCAATTTGTAGAAGGCCCTGGGGAACAGTGGGGACCCCAAGCCCCTCTGCGGAGTATCTTATGAGATTAAACCTTTGGCAGACCCCTTCTGGCCATAGATCAGGGACTCAAACAGCTTAACTATCACACAGAGATTATTGTAAACTTAATTATGAAGGCTCAAGCCATGGGAAAAGAGTACACTTGGTCAGTTGACCTCCCCCTTAACTCAACCTGAATGTGCTCTAGGCTCAAGCATTTCTCCCTTGTTCCAGAAATTCCTTTGGCTTTTTAAATATTGGTGGTAGTCTTTTCTCTTTTACTCTTTATTGGTATTTTTATCTTTATATTATTATTATCATCTTTTTGCCAATTTATTTTGCTTTTGTTTTTTATTGTTTCTGTTGGTTTTTCCAGTTTGTGAAGCACAGCAGTGAATGCTTTGAGACAGTAACTTGATGTAAGGATTTATCTGAGATGTGGAGGAGAATTGGGGGTGGGGAAGGAGAGGGAACTAGGGGCACAAATAATGAATGATGAGGGGCAAGGGAGCACTAGAACTGATTGTGATGATGTAAATACAACTCTTTAAAAAACAGTTTAACAGGAAGTGTATACTATGTGAATACTATATCAAGAAAACTACTTAAAAAAAAAAACAATGAATGAAACCAAACTTGACGGGGAAAAAAAAACACTGAATGAAACCAACATGGATGAAGGAGAAAGAGTTGTTGCTTAGAAGGCATTGAGTTTATGTCAATGGTAGTGGAGCAATTTGGAAAAGGATATCAATAATGGTTGTACAACGCGAAGAGAATAATGACACTGAATTATACATGTAGAAATAGTTGAATTGGATAATGTTTTATTTGGTATATTTTTGCTACAATTAGAAAAAAATAATTACATGAATAATAGTTCAAGGAAAAAGAAAATGTTCTAGAATTGAATGTGGTGATAATTGTACACTATTCTGTTTTTGTACAACTATTCTTGATAGGAATGAATTATCAAATTGTATAACAAGTGAATGAAGTGCTAATAAAACTTTTTTTTAAAAGAGTAAATGAGATAATAAAGAAAAAAATAGTACCAGAGGCAAATCAGTGACAATATTATGGAAGATCTTTATGTTCCAGGGAAATGATTGATTAGACTCTGTACCATAAATTAACAAGGAGTTCTCTAAAGGGAGCCAAAGGCAGGTTAAAAAAAAACACATCATAGATCCAGGAATGGGCTAAGGGTTCACACTAAATTCTAGCTCCAATTTATGAACAATTAGTTCTTACATCATGGTCCAGCTCGATACTCTCGGGAAGAGAACACAAAAGATACGGGTCCTATAGCAAAGTGTGGTTAAGCAATTAAATGGTGCCCAGCTATCAGATAAAAGAGTGTCTGGGGTCTTAAAGGCTTGTTTCTGAACAGACAGCCATCTAAATAAGTCCACATGGAAGAAGCACATCAATATCAGTGACTGAAGGACTGTAAATCATATAATCCAAAACCAAAAGAGGGAATATTATCAGAGCCTAAATTGTGAGATTCTGACTTGCAGAAGGTTCTGGATGACAGTGCGAGCCCAAGATACATTTGTGAGATCTATCCAGGAGATAAGCCTCCAGTGATTTCTCTATCCATAATGGGAGGATGGGAATAACCTGGTTACCCAACAGTGCATTGGGGGAATGACTATAGATCAAAATGATAACCCTGACTTAAATGGTTTAAACCTTGCCAGTTGATTCCCCCCTCTGATACATGTTAGACCTGATCTTGTTTTCAACATTTTCTGGGGTTTTGTTTGCTTGTTTCTTCGTTTCATTTTATTGTTATATTGGGGCCTATCTCTGATGTATTTTGTCAATGAGAGTAGCCCTCTTGAATTTTTGTTCTGTGTTTTTCAGTTTTTTTTGGTATATGAACCCAGGATTGATGACCCTATAGAGACAGCAAATAGAATAAGGGTTCCTGTGGTAGGGGTGTAGGGGTGGGGGGTTAAGAGGTGCTGATATTAAGGAGTTCAAGAAGAAAGAATGTTTTAAACTGCTGTGGTAGCAATTGTATAACACTGCTTGATGTGATTGAATTATGGAATGATATGATATCTGTACAAGCTCCTAATAAAATGATTGAAAAAAACAGGCCAGAATTTACAGTACATCATAGAAGGGAGGGATTATAGGTTTCAGAAGAGCCATATGAAAAAAGAAGGTTCCATATGAAGTAAGTAACTACATCTCAATACTCTAGAGTTCATGGAGAAAGACTAGCCACTTAGGAGACTTAGAAAAGAGTAACATACAATAATAAGTTATATATAACGTGAAATTTAATACTGTTTAAATGTGGGTCTGTGACCCACATTACTGGTACCATGTGAGAAATGTAGACTCTCAGATCACCTCAGACCTACTCATTCAAAATTTTCATTTTTAACCATTTCAGGTGATGCAAATGCACATTTGAATTGGGAATTCCTTACGTAATTATTCTGAGGGTATAATAACTTTGAGGATTACGACAGTTTGCCTCTTTAAGAAATTAATTATGTTAAGTTATGCTTTAAAAAAAACTTAAATAAGATATGACAAAATTACAATTTATAAATTATCAAAGGCTCGTGAGGGAGGGGGCAGCGGGGAGGGAGGGGGAAAATGACTTAATGCCGGGGGTTTAAGTGGAGAGGAAATGTTTTGAGAATGATGAGGG